ACTTATGCCCAATTGTTGCACAGATGTTACACATAATGGGTTGGCCACGGTACCAAACCCGACAAGTAGAACCATTAATAACAGCCACTCTAGGAGGAGCTTGAGACAAAACAATGTCAATCAGCCTCGTGCCAGTGGCGATGTCACCATTTCGTAAATACTTTTGGTGACGAACACCCTTAACAACACCATAGTCAGAAAAGAAGGCGGAGATGTCCTCAGCAGGATCCTCATACGGGTAATCAAAGAGATGGACGATAGTGGACGATAGCTACAATAAAATTAGGTGCACACGGGAAAGAGGATAAATTGGAAAAACTACGGGAATTTACCCAGCTACAAAAGTATTACTTAAGTAATAAAACTACAAAAAGTTAAGATATAAATTTGGAAAACAGGACTTTAGCCTGGCTACAATAGAATTAAGCGCAGCGAATAGCAATAAATAAGGGAGAATTAATTGATATTTAGATACGTTAACGGGAATTTTACCCGACTACAATAAATACTATTAAAGAGAAAAAGAATTTAGACAACAGGACTATTGCCTGGCTATAATAAAATTACCACGGGAATTGACCCGGCTACAAATATATAACTAGATAATTAGACTACAAAAAGTTAGGAAACAAATTTGGACAACAGGACTTTAGCATGGCTACAATAGAATTAAGCGAAACGGATGGTAATAAATAAGGGAGAATTAATTATTATTTAAATACGCTAGCAGGATTTTACCCGACTACACTAAATACTATTAGAAGAAAAAAGAATTTGGACGACAGGACTATTGCCTGGCTACGATAAAATTACAGCAATAAATATGGGAGAATTTGAAAGAGCGAAAGCTTAAAAACAAGCAACGCTTAAGCAAAATTGAAGCACACAATGAATATCAATTAAGTTATAAGATAAATTTGGACAACAGGACAAGCCTGGCTACAATAAAATTATAGCAAGAGACACAAGGCACAGCGAAGTGGGCGAAAGTGAATTCAAAAGGATCCACTCAAAAAGAGCCACACACAAAATTAGAAAAATGAGAAGTTAAGCTGG